CACACACACACACACACACACACACAAAATAAATAAATAAAAATTTAAGATACTAACTATGAGTGGGAGAAAGGGAGACTAACGTGATCTGTGATGTACAGATCCAAGGGAAGAGCAAATATATGTTCAAAATGACCAAAATTATGTCTTCTAGAACGTATTTTTAGCTTTTTCTGTTAACAAGTTTTATTCATTAAGTCAGTTACCTAGCTTGTTAACTGTAGCAACAAAATTAGAACAATGTGTTCTGAACACAGAAGCTTAACGTTTCTTGTATTACTCATTTTACAGTGTTAAATGAACCCGTTGTATTTAAGAGTTTTATTTTCCCTTGAGGGACAAGCACCTTTTTTATTTTATTTTCCCTTTCAAGATACTTCACTAAACAATCAATAATGAATATTTAGTAATTCACCTTGTAGCAGGTTTTTTTTTTAATTTTTAAAATTATTTATTTGCTACAAGGTCTCACTAAGCAGCTACGACTCATAGTGATCCACCTGTCTCAGCTTCTCCAGCACTGGAATTACAGGCATGCACTACCAGCACCCGGTCTCGGTAGGCATGGCATGAGTACCACAGATGGAACCCAGGCCCTTGCGCTTGCCAGGCAGGTGCTTAGACCATTGAGCTATCTCTCCAGCCCCCATGTGACAGTTTTTGAGGTGAAGTGTGTATAGTAGGAGAAATCATTCAGTCATTCCAAAGAAATTTAGCATTTTGAAATTGGCATCAACATAAAACAGACACATTAAAAAGGATGTGTGTGTGTGTGTGTGTGTGTGTGTGTGTGTGTGTGTGTCTTGCTGTCTGTCTATCAGTGTGTCTGTGCTGGGGATTGAACCATGGTCTTTCACATACCAGGTAAGTCTTTATTTCAGTAAGCTACATTCCCAGCAGGAAGATCAAGTTTTAAATGCATATAAAGGTTCTTTTGTATACGCATTTTTTTTTTCCTTTCCAGATTTTATTATAGTCTGCTGCTTGAAGTTATGTGAATGTACCCTGAAGCAAAACTTAAACGGCAAATTTTTAAGTGCAGGTGTCTGGTTCATGACAGGTACCCTCTTAGGTACAAGTCGTGAGACTGAGAGGTGTTGGAATTAGGTAATGAACATTGACAGATGATTAAATACAGAAAGGATGAGTAATAGTATTTTAGCTAGGATAGTCAGAGAAGTTCTCAGGAGGTGAAATCTGTGTAGGGCTGTGAAGGAGAGTGAGCAAGCCACCACTCAAGAATTTTGCTGGCAGAGGGCACAGCAACTATAAAGGCTCTGAAAACAAAACAAGCCTAGTGTGATGTGGGAACAGCAAGATGGTTGGAATGCAGTGGATAATATTAAAGTGAAGCAATGGGAAACAGCATTTAGGAACTTGTAGGCCATTAGAAAGGGAGCTGTTGGGCCTGGGCGATAGCTCAGTAAAATAAGTGCTTGTCTTGCAAGCACAGGGTCCTGAGTTCAATCCCCAGTACCACGAAAAAAAAAAGGGAGCTGTAGGAGAGGTAGGCAGAAGAGGGGCATAGTTACAGTGGACAAGAATATAAATTAGGAGGCAATGATAGTGGTTAACCATTTCTCAGTGAACTCCTGGGTTTGAAATCTCAGCCTTGACTGGGCATGGTGGTGCACACCTGTAATCCCAGCACTGCGGAAAGCTGAGGCAGGAGGATCACAAGTTTAAGGCCAGCCTAGGCTACAGAAACAAAACACAAACTTAGCCTTGCCATTTATTCTGTATGTCCTTATGTAAATTACTTCTCTGTTCCTTAGTTTCTTATCTATGAAAGTAGTCATAAGGTGACTCCCCCAAGCATAGAATTTATTTATTTGGTTTTTTGAGACAGGGTTTCATTATGCAGTTCAGGCTGGCCTTTCAACTCACTTTGTAGCCTGGGCTGGTTTCGAATTTGCAGTGATCCTCTTGCCTCGGCCTTGCAGAGTGCTAGGATTACAGGGGTGCATCACCATGCCCAACTAAATAATTTATTTGATTAGACAGATTGTATATAAATTTGTGTAGTCTTGTTTAATCCTTCAATTTTTTATTTTATTTTATTTTTTTGTGATACCAGGGATTGAACTCAGGAACCTGCGTTTGCCAGGCAAGTGCTTATTCTACTGTGCTAGCTCCCTGGCCCTGTAATCCTTCAGTTGGTAGGCATTTAGATTTCTGCTTTTTAGGTGTTATGAATAAAATGATAAAACCACACATTTGGGGTGAATATGTTTTATTTTTTTATGAACAGATACCTAGGTGTGGAATTACTGATATGTAGTATGGTAAATTCATGTTTTGGTTTTTTTCCCATAATATTACTGATAAACAAATAGCAATGAGACAGTTTCAAATCAAATTGGTAGGACAGTTTCAATAATTAACACATTGCATACATTCTTCCTAGTGGTTAATTGCTGTACAAGATGCGGACATGATATCCTATTTACAAACACCATTAGAACAAATCACTCACTGGGGAGATAGCTCAGTAGAATAAGTGCTTGCCTGGCAAGTTCAAGGTCATGAGTTCAATCCCCAGTACCGCCAAAAAAAAAAAGAACGAATCACTCTATTCATTAAGAGAGTGTAACTATATATCTATCCTAACCACTTTGAATACACAGATACAAAATGGACATACATCTGTATACCCTTTTTGTTGTTAAATTCTGTTATTTGAATATTATAGGTGTGTAAACTCAGCAAAATATTCTAAAAGAGTCCAGTAGCCCATAATAGTATTGGGTCTTCCGCTTGACTGCCAATGTCAGAAATTGTTGACCTGAGTCCCCTACAGCTCAACATAACACCGTGGCTTTACCTCTTATATTTTGTTTTTTTACTTTTCCGCTGGATGGTTAAGACCAAGGTAAAGCAGGACCTATGCAACAAGAGTTGTAGCTTTTGGGTCTGATAAGGTCAGTGAAATTCCCTCAGGATTTATCCTGATATCCTGTACCTCAGATTGTAGAACCTTTGTCAGTGTCAGCCATGTGGATGAGTCATGGCCATTGCTTGGCCAATGTGCTCTCTGTGAAAGCCTGAGAGAATGTTTTCTCTCCATGTGACTCTCCTTAGGCACACTCTACATCATCGATCACTTTCCTCTTTGGCCCCATAATCTTCTTGATCAGAAAATTTGGGACACTGCCGAGTTACATGATGTTACAGTACAAGTTCTCATATGTCCTGAGTCTTAATTGACCTTAGAAGGCTAGGGCCAAAACGTTGGCTTTCCTTGCAGCCCTCCTTTTTCTCTAATTTTGGTCTGCAAACTTAGGTTGTTAACCATCCAGAAGACAAGCTTATTGTTATTACCATACAACTTAGGCTGTTAAGCTTAGCCTCACTATCTGTCTGCATATCAAACATCTTAGGCATAATATGGAACAGGTATTTTTCCTCAAGTATTGATATGTTGAACTTTAAGTCCCTACAGAATATGATAAAAATCATGTTTTGTTTTGATTTTTGTTTGCTTCCTTGTTTTTGTTTTTGTATGGGGAATTAAACTCAGAGCCTCATATTTGCCAGGCAAACACTGTGCAGCTGAGTTATACCCCCTGCCCTGTGTTTAATTTTTTTTAAAAAACTGCCTAACTTTTGTAGGGTGGTTGTGCCATTATTGCACTAGGGGTATTTGAGGGTTCTAATTCTATTTTTTTCCCCGAATTTTATTATTGTCACAAATATTTAGCATTGTTGGTTTTCTGTTTCAACCATGCTATTAGGTGTGTAGTAATATCTCATTATGTTTTGTTTTGTTTTGTTTTTGAGAGAGGGTTTCACTGTGCAGTGGAGGCTGGCCTCAAACTCACTATGTAGCCCAGGCTGGTCTCAAACTCACAGATTATCCTGCTTCAGTTCTCCCCCAGTACTGGGATTACAGGCATGCACCACCACTCCCAGCCTCAGTGTGGTTTTAATTTTCATTTCTGAAATGACTAACGCTGTTGGCCATCTTTTCATGCATCTGTTTGTCATTTGCCATTTGTGTATGTTTTTTGGTGAAATACGTATTCAAGTTTTTTGTGCATTTTAAAATCAGATTTTGTGTGTGTGTGTGTGTGTGTGTGTGTGTGTGTGTGTGTGGCGGGACTGGGGATTGAACTCAGGCCCTTGAGTTTGCCAGGGAAGCGCTTTGTCTACTGAGCCATCTCCCCGGCCCCTAAAATCAGATTGTTTTACAGAGTTGTAAGAGTTATTTTATCCTGAGTATACTCTGTTACTACTGAACATTATTTTATACCATTCTGAAGTTTTTTTGTAATGAACTATAGTAAGATGTTTTGTCTTTTTTTTAGACAGTGCTTTGCTGTATAGTTACTATGTAGCCTAAGCTGACCTTGAACTCAAGGTGATCCTCTTCAGCATCCCAAGTACTGAGATGGGTTGTTTGTCTGAGTTCCAAGAGTTTCTACAAATGCTAGTAAAAGTCATTTGACAGACAGGATGGGCAGATGCCTCTGTGGCTTCTGTTACCACTTTTTAAAATTTTTTATTTGAGACTGATCTCCTATACATCTGCCTTATCCTTGTCCAGCTATGTTACCAATTTTTTCCCCCAATGCTAGGGATTGAACCCAGGGCCTTTCCATTCTACATCCCCTATCCTTTTTATCTTTTATTTTGAGATAAGGTCTTTCTAAATTGCCCAGGTGGAAATCTAACTTGTACTCCTACCTTAGCCTCCCTCCCAGGTGTAGGGATTACAAGTGTGGCCATTGCACTGAGCTCTGCTACTACTTTTTGAGAGGTGGGAGGATGGAGTCAAACTCAGGACCTCATTCTTGCCAAGCAGCTGCTGCACCATTGAGCTAAATTCCTGGCCCCTGTTACCACTTTTTAATGTTGTCTTTTGAAAAGCAAATTTTGATGAATTGCTCTTAGCATATTTTATTTTATGCACCTCTTTTATACACTTATCACATTTTCTAGGAAATCTTTGCTTAGTCCAAGGTCACTAGGTCGGTTGGTCGGGGTCTCTCTCTGTCTCTGTCTCTGTCTCTGTCTCTGTCTCTCTCTGTCTCTGTCTCTGTCTCTCTCTTTCTTTGCTGGGTATTGAACCCAGGGTTTCATGCAAGTTAGGTAAGCACTCTGTCACTGAGCTATACTCACTGCTTTATCTTCCAATGTTTAATAAACGTGGATATCTGGCTATTTCAGAAACATGTTAAAAGACTGTCTTTTGCACATTGAATTAGTTTGGCATTTTTGCTGACAGTTTATTATAAGTGTGTAAACTTATTTTTGGGTTTTCCATTCTATTTTATTGATTAATATGATTGTCCTTTCAATACCACATTTAATTACTATGAACATTATAGTAAATTTTCAAATTGGGTAGTGTGAGAAGCAGCTTGACATTTTCACAACTGTAGGCTTTTGTAGCTTTTTTTTTTTTATTTCCAAACGAGTTTTAATACCAGTTTATTAATCCCTCACCACCACCAAAAAAGAAAAAGAAAAAAAAAAAACAACTTAATGGGCTAGGTATGGTGGTGCACACCCGTATAATTCTAGGCACTCAGAAAGCTGAAGTAAAAGGATTGCAAATTCAAGGCTAGCCTCAATAATTTAGTGATATCCTGTCCCAAGAAGGGGGGCTGAAGATGTAGCTCACTGGTAGAGCATCCCTGGATTCTGTTTTCAGTACTGCCAGAACAAAACAAACAAGCAAAACCTGTGCTGGGATGGATGGATGGATGGATGGATGGATGGATGGATGGATGGATTGATTCTGTATTTTAGGGAGTGGTCTACAGAGTGTTCAGGGTCTCATTATTAGATTGGTCTTGTAGTGATCTGCCTGTTTGCAGCCTCCCAAGTGCTGGGATTACAGGCGCATATCTCAGTCGCCATCTCAGCACTTCCTGGGGGTGGGGCCAGTACAGCAGGCCCTGAGATCGAACCCCTGGCCCCTGTGCCTGCTTGCAGGCATTTGAATCCGCTGAGCTATTTGGCCAGCCCTTGTGCTGGGATTTAATGGGGATGACATTGAATTTATGGTTGGTCTGGGGACAGTTTGACAATATTGTCTTAGTGCATCTTTGAGGATCTGCAGGGAATGATATTCATTCAAAATGAAGTAAAAACTGGGCAAGGCTTATGGCTAAAAGGTAAAACACTTGCCCAACATGCGTAAGGCCCTGGCTTTAATGCCCAGCACAATATATGTTAAATGCTTCTTTGCTGCAAGAGGTATATCTCCTGATATTCCCAAAGGAGTGATCACATATATGCTGCTGTTCTATTAAGGCCTGTATGCTTGAATATGTTATTCAAATTATGGCATGGTAAAAACAAGTTGTTTTATAATTTTTAATTGAGAAACATTTTTTCCTCCTTATTTTAATAGGAAACTTCCATTTTAGAAGACTACAATATCAATTGGACTCAGAAGCTGGGAGCTGGAATTAGTGGTCCAGTTAGGTAAGAGACCCATGTAAGAACTGTAACAAAATTGCTCTGAGAAGGGCTACTGGAAATGTATTTTGAATTAGAAGTATCAGGTGTTCCACATTTAAGAAAGGTATAATTTAACAAGTAGATTTTTGTTTGTTTTGGGGGTTTTGGTGCTGAGAATTGAACTCAGAATCTCATGCCTTCTGAGAACATCTCTACTACTGAATCACAGTCCCCGGCTCCTACTAGAGGTGTTTTTTTTTTGTTGTTGTTGTTGTTTTTCTTTTGTTCTTTTTTCTTTTTTATACATCTGTAAACATAGCTAAGTGACCAAGTCATATGGCTTACAATATGGACTCATTTAAGATGCTGAGACTGAGGCTACTGGGAGAGTCTTCTTTAGCCAGCAGAGGCTGTTTCTTCATTGGCTTGTTGTGAGTTCGTGGTACCTACTCAGGAGCCGACCTGAGCATGAACAGCTGGGAAGAGCAGTGAGGTGCTTCTCTGCCTTGCCATCTGCTGCCCAAGGGGCAGGTTTGTTCTGATACACCTGCATATATCTTTGATTAGAAGTATAATTCTCAAAGAATAGACTCTACAATTAATTTTCACTCTCACATGCATAGTTGCTGATTGAATTTTTCCCTTCAAATCTAGAGTCTGTGTGAAGAAATCTACCCAAGAACGGTTTGCACTGAAAATTCTTCTTGATCGTCCAAAAGCTAGAAATGAGGTATTGTTCTTCATTGCCTTGTCTTGCCTAATTTTTTTTAATTAATTTTATTGAGAAACAAATAGCAATGAGACAGTTTCAAACCCATTTAGTAGGACAGTTTCAATAATTAATACATTACATATTGTTGTCTTTGTAGTGGTTATTTATAGTACAAGATGCAGACATGATATCCTGTCCAAACACTGTTAGTGCAAATCTTTCTTCTCATTGAATTAAGAGAAAGCTATGTATCTATCCTATTTTGTGTATACAGATACAATGTGGTCCTTCATTTATATCCCCTTTTTTTGTTTATTTTTGTCAGAGATGGGTATTCCATTGCCATTTAAATATTGTATGTATGTGAATTCAGCAAAATAATCCAATATATAGTTCAGTAGTGCATAATAGTAGTGGGTTACGACTGGCAATGTCAGAAGTTGTTGACTTGAGCCTTTTACAGCTCAGCATATTAATGTGGCTTTGCCTAAATTTTTGAAGTGCCTAAGACTTGTTCTTTTTACAAGTAAGGCAGATTCCTGGAGAGAATACAGAAATGCATAAAGAATTTTGTTCACATACTTTTCTCTTGTCTTTATTCATGTTTCATTATACAGTAGTCCTAGATCTTTCAGCATGGAGGTTATTAGTAGGGTCTTGTTTCCTTTTGTGGACTATTACATATTTAGAGTTCTGTTTTTGCTCATTGAAAATAATGCCCCCCCCCCCAAAAAAAAAAAGAAAATAGTGCCCAAAAGGTAGAGATAAAATATGACCCAGTATTTTTGGGGAGGGGCAGATAAATGTTGTTTAAAAAGTGATGCTGCAAGAGGACTCTTTAAGGTTGTGTTTCTAGTTTTTAGAAATATACATTGTTTTAAAATTATATGGATGGGGTAATAACATGCTATTAACATATGCAATGAAAGACTTACTTTCTTATTTTTGGATATAGGATCTTGCTGTGTAGGTCAGTCTGGCCTGAACTCAGACTCACTGTGTGTAGTCCAGACTGACTGCGAATGTGTGGTGATCATTCCGCCTCAGCCTCCCAGGTGCTGGGATTACATGCTGCACCATGCCTGGCTGAAGGACTTACTCTTTTGTTTAGAAGTAGAATGAGTTATTTGCTAAAATTTTCATTTGGTAATGGAACCATAGAAAACAAATCTATTAGTGAGGTTTTCTTTGTGGAAAAGAACATCAAGGGGCTAATTGGTGTATGAAAATACTGGTTTTTTAAATATGATTTTATTTTACTTTTATTTTTATTTGTGTGTGTGTGTGTGTGTGTGTGTGTGTGTGTGGCCAGCTCAGCCCACCAGGGGGCGGGGCTGACTGGCATGTGGTGCTGGGGGATTGAACTGTGGTCCCTGTGCTTTGCTAAGCTTGTTCTAAGTAGGTGCTTTAGACCACTGAGCCATCTCACCAGCCCTAAATATGATTTTATAGGTGAGGTTTTTTTGAAGTAGGCTTTTATCACTTGGACCTAATGTGGTCATTTTTTGCTGGGAAATTTGAAGAGAAGATGTTTGCATCCCCTTTGCACAGAAACATTTCCTTTGTTCTCTTTAAGGTACGTCTGCACATGATGTGTGCCACACACCCAAACATAGTTCAGATTATTGAAGTGTTTGCTAACAGTGTACAGTTTCCTCATGAGTCCAGTCCCAGGTAAGGCTACACAGGATCACTCTGATATGTGTACGGGTAGGCCCACGTGTAGCAGTCTTTTTCCTTCTTTTCCCTTCCTCTCCTTTGCCCTTCTTCCTACCCCTATTCTTTCCCCTCCCCCTCTATGTTTTGGAAAGTTTCAGATCTTTGTGAAAGCACAGAATTATATAGTGAATCCCGAGGTACTCACCACTCAGCCTCAACAGTGTTGTCTACCCACTCTCCCAGCTCGTGATTATTTTGATTACTTTTTTGCTTTATAAAAAGCATTTAATGTGGAATTTAAACAGAGTCTATTTCTAATTTGCCCAGTGTTATTCTAGGCAATGTCTCAGAGGCTGATATAGTAGAAAAAGCTCTGTTGCTTAGTCTGACTTTGCTTTCAAAGGAAGAAATCAACATTCTTTTAGCTGCCACATGTTTTAAAAGCATATGGGGTGGCAGTTTGAGTCTCTTCTAGGGAATTCATTGGAAAGATTGAGGTGTAAGTTCATCATCATAGCATGTAATATCAAGGAAAGGCATCCATGAAATATTTCTGAACTTTATAAAGGAGGGCAGCTACTAACTTGGGAGATAAGGTGTTTCACTGAGGCTAGATGGAGGAAGACTAGCCCTTGAAAGGAGGGTAGGAATTTTATAGTTGGAGGGAAGAAAAATGGAATTTTATAAATGAACAGGAATCAGTGATTGTTTTTCACTTTGCTCTGTTGGTGAAAGCATTTGGATGGAATCTGGAAGCATTTTATCAAAGAATGGTAACCAAAATTCATGAACTTTTTTTTTTAACATGAGAATTTTTGTTCTTATTTAGTAGCTGCATTATGCTGGTTACGCACTTTGTAGATGAAATCTCTATAGTTTAGTTTTTTGTATTTCAAGGTTTTTCTTGTTTGTTTTTTTTTTTTTTTTTTTTTTTTTTTTTTTTTTTTTTTTTTTTTTTAACTTAACAAAATCAAATGCTTTCAAACAGGGCTCGACTCTTAATTGTAATGGAGATGATGGAAGGGGGAGAGCTATTTCACAGAATCAGCCAGCACCGGCACTTTACAGAGAAGCAAGCCAGCCAAGTAACAAAGCAGGCAAGTTAACCCCGGTACCAATCAAACTGCCAACTATGTTGGTTAACAACTACAATTTCATTAGGGGGAATAAAAGGAACCTTAAAGAAAAGCTCTATTTGACTTCTCATTGCCTGCTTTGTTATGTAATCAGAAAGAATGTCTTCACAGGATAAATGTTATCCCTTTTATATTTTAGAGGGGGGAAGGACTGTATTCTTAATTGGTTGTCAACTGTTTCCTGGTAAGATTTAAGTAAATGCTGAAAAGAAGATAATTTTACTGCCTCTGTTGCCTCCCATGTCTTTAGACATGCAGCTTCCAAGCACTGTAATTGGACTTTGAGATAAAATGCTGTTGATATCACCTGAAACATTGTATGGTACAAAAAAATGTTCTGTGACAGTTTGTATAGGATGCTTCTTAAGTGAATCACTTATCATTTCTGCAGATTTTTAATAGTAGTCTAATATCTTCATAATTCAGGGCTATTCCTAGTTATATCCGACCTAAAAATCACACTTTATTGCTATTGAAGTGGTGGTGTTACATTCAGTACTAGGAATTCACCTGGTACTAACCTCTTGTAAAGGTGAGAAGTTAAACCCTCAAGACGTATCTTCAGATCAAGCAAGTAGGGTAAAGAAAAGCAGGAAGCACAGCCTAATTAGGTATTAATGAACTTCCAAATTTTCCATAAGCTTTTTCCCAAGCATTTTTGGATGGCTCCTTCCTGATTGATCACAGGTCAACTAATATTTGGATTACTGAGAAAAATTCTATAGTAGAATGTATCTTATTTGATTTTTTTAAATTATATTTTTAATTTTTCAAATATTAGGACTAAAAGATAAGCTCTGATACTTTTCTGTAAAACAGAAACCCCTCAAGAGTCCACACAGACAGGCAGCATTGTCAGCAAGTAAGGTGAACAAACTGGAACATCCGTTGGAAAAATCTGATCAGCTAGTTTGAAGGTGGAGTCTGCTATCAGTTCCTTAGCAAGTGTAGTTCTGAGATGCCTGGCAATCCTGCTGCTGCCCTGCTGGGAAACACATGCCTGCTGAAGACTGCCCAGCGTGGCAGTTTCTCTTCAGTGCCTCTCACATGTAATGAAAGGAAGTGGCAGCATTTCATTTTTCCCATTTCTTACAGGGTGGAATCATCAGTTTATTCTGACAGAATTGTTTTACTGTCTTCTTTGTTGTTAACAATTTGTTTTTGTTTAATGCTCTGTTTCTTGGTACCCCAAGTCTTCCTTAATTTCTGCTTTGAAATTGAAACTGACCAAGGTTTTGATCAACTTAAATTTTTTTTTAACATCCTGAATTCTCTACAACAGGTATTAAAGATTGTTCTTTTCTAAGAGGCTGTTGCTCTATTGTGTCATTTTTCAGATAGCGTTGGCTCTTCAGCACTGTCACTCCTTAAACATTGCACACAGAGATCTCAAGCCAGAAAATCTGCTTTTCAAGGATAACTCTTTGGTGAGAAAAGTTGCTTTTCTACATTTTAGTACTAGTAGCTGTACTTTTTACACAGCTCAGAAGTGGATGTGGATGTGTTTGGGATGCTCCAGGTCCATGGGGAAGCGACTGTAGGCAGATACATTTCCCCTTTTCTTCCTGTATGCTCAGAAACTGTACCACATTCTTGGCATTAATAATTTTAGGTGATATTCATGTATATTTATGGGACTTATTCTCCTTTTTTTTTTTTGGTGGAACCAGGGATTGAACTCAGGCCCTTGCGCTTGACAGGGAAGCGCTTATTCCACTGAGGCATCTCCCCGGTCCCTTATGGGACTTATTCTTGTAATATTGGGGGACCTTAGGGAAGGCATAGGAGTCTGTATACTGTTAACATGTTATTTTGAGGGCCGGGGAGATGGCTCAGTAGAACAAGCGCTTCCCTGGCCAAGTGCAAGGGCCTGAGGTCAATCCCTGGTTCAGCAAAAAAAAAAAAAAAAACCAAAAAACATGTGATTTTGAAACTTCATTGTATCAAGTAAGGTAGCATGCAGGCTTGATGAGAGGTGATGGGCTCATTGAATGAGGGGCCAGAAGGCCAAGATCTTCATTTTACAGCTGACTTTGAGTTATAAAGCAAGGCTAAGTGAATGGAAATTCATTTCTCCTATGTTACTAAGAACGTTCTTCAGCGTTAACCATTGTCTGGTTCATGTTCAGACCTGTTGACATACTATTCACAGGCTCATATCTCAGCCAGAAATTTGTAGAAGCTCAGAGTAGTATGTTGTACACTTAGATTTTTCTTTAGTATTTACTGACAATTCTGGAGCAGTTACTCCCATTTGATTTCAGGATGCTCCGGTGAAGTTGTGTGACTTTGGATTTGCTAAAATTGACCAAGGTGACTTGATGACACCCCAGTTCACCCCTTATTATGTAGCACCTCAGGTAAGTATGTGCAGTTTTTTCCCTAAGGTGTATTACCAAGCTGCCGTTCTAGATTTATGTTTCTTCTGTTCTGCTATGCAAGTAGGCATATGTTTCAGATGGGGGAGGGAAAAAACTTAAGAAGCTTACCAATTGCTTCATTTTTTTAAATGTATTAAGTACAAGGTCTACAGGGTTTCACTGTACAGATTGGACTTGTAGTGAGTCTTCCTGTTTTTCAGCCTCCCAAGTGCTGGGATTACATGCATTTACATGTGCCACCACGTCCAGTCTGAATCCACGTCTCAGCAGGCCCCGTTGGGCTAGCAGAGCAGGCCAGGTGTCAAACCCTCGGCCCTTGCATCTGCCTAAGCAGGCACTTTTATCCACTGAGCTATCTGGCTAGCCCTTGCTTCATTTTTTTACATGGATAATTCATTCTTTTAAAATTGGCTTTTTATGATTTAGAGGTATGGTTTATATATAATAAAATACTGTAGACTGTTAATGTTGGGAATACATTGCAGGACCCCCCAGTGAATGTCTGAAGTCACAGACAGTACCAAATCCTAGATGCATATATTTTTTCTATACATATATTCCTGTGATAAACTTTCACCTTTTCACTTAAAGAGGTTTTTTTTGGGGGGTGGGGAGGCATTAATGAATATTGAGTCCAGGGTCTTTGCACAAATCTAAGTCCTGGCCCTTTAAAAATTTTATTTATCTGCTTATTTTTTGAGGCCACTAGTCACAAAGTCACCCAAGCTGAGCTTGAACTTTCAATAATTAGTAAACCCTGCAGAGGGCCACTATGTGTGCCACTATGAGTGGTAAAGGAACCTCTTTGTGGCTTTTCTTTGGCATGTCTGAATAGTCCACATCACTACTTCATGTTTTGGGCTGTTAAATAAAGTTACTTGAATATAAGCAGGGCATTACAGAGATGGTCAGTGTGGTTGCCAAGCTGGTGACTTTTTTTTTTTTCTTGTATTTTAGGGAAGGGTCTACAGGGTATTCAGGGTCTCACTACTAGATTGGACTCGTAGTGCTCTGCCTGCTCACAGCCTCCCCAGAGCTGGGATTCCAGGCGCGCACCACCACGCCCAGTCTCAGTTGCGGTCTCAGCGTGCCTGGCAGGCCCAGGGGTTGAGCCCTCAGCCCCTGTGCCTGCTTTAGGTGCTTTAATCCAAGCTGGTTACTGATGCAGCATGGATACTCTGGATAAAGAGACAATTCAAGACCTAGGGGTGATTGAGTTGGATGGCTTGAGATGGTGAAAAACTTCAGTGTGTTATTCAGAATAGCATACAATTTAAAACTAATGAATTCTTTCTGGGATTTTCCATTTAATATTTTTGACTGGTTGATGGCAAGTAATGAAATTACAGATATGCTCCCTCCAAAAAATAACTCTAAGGGGGCCGGGGAGATGGCTCAGTAGAATAACTGCATCCCTGGCAAGCGCAAGGGCCTGAGTTCAATCCCCGGTTCCACCAAAAAATAAAAAAATAACCCCAGTATGAAAAGGAAAGAGGCTGGGGAGACAGTTTGGTGGTCTAAGTGCCTGCCTGGCAAGTGCAAGGACCTGGGTTCAGTCCCTGGTACCACATGCTGTGCTAGCCCTGAAACTGGGCATGGTGGTGTATGCCTATAATCCCAGCGCTAGAAAGGCTGAGACAGAACCATTACAAGGCCACCCTGCATAGTGAGGCCCTGTACCAAATTAATTGAGAGAGAGAGAGCGAGAGAGAACACGAGCGCGCGTGTGAGAGCGAGCAAGCATATGACTTCCACAGTGAAGACCCTCCACATGAAGAGGCAGAACACGCTTAACACTTCATACGCTGCCTTGTTCCCTATCTCCTCCCATGCTAACCTCTGGCCCCAGGCAATCACTGATCTAAGATGCTTTCTGTTACTAATTTTGCTTGTCAGATTTCATACAAGTGGAATCATGGATGTTTTATATTTCATTTCTTTTGATCAGTGTGTTTTAAAGATGTATCTATGTTGCTGCAATTATTAGTCCTTTTATTACTAAATAGTATTCCATCATATGGCCAAACTAAATTTATTTGGGTTGTTTCCTAGTTTGAGGCATTATGAATAAAGATGCTAGGAATATTCATTTACAAAGTTTTGGAGACCATTGTTTCTGACTCAAAAGTATCTTTTTCTAAAATAGTTTTACCGGGGCCTGGGGAGATGGCTCAGTAGAATAAGTGCTTCCCTGGCAAGCACAGAGGCCTGAGTTCAATCCCCAGTTCTGCAAAAATAAAATAAAATAAAATAGTTTTACCATTTTAAGGTTTTGCAAACCTATAAAGGTTCCAGTTGCTTCACATTCCCGTACCCATGTTTGTTAGTATTTATTTTCATCGTTCTAGTTGGTGCTTATACTTCTTTACTAAGGATGTTGCTTTTTGTCTTGATATTAGCTTTGCGAAAGACTCTGTTTAAATCTTTTCCCTATTTGTATTATTACTATATTTTTCCAATTTCTTTTTTTGAGACAGGGTCTTGTTATATATCCTAGGCTGGCCTTGAACTCAGTGATCCTGTAAGTTCAACCTCCTGAGTGCTGGAATTATAGACACTGTCTTGCCCCACATTTTCCCTTTTTTTTTTTCATAAAATTTTTTTTTCTTATTTTTAATTTCAGAATTCTTTATATATTTTGAATGTAAGTTCTTTTACATATATACTTTGCAGAGATGTACTTCTAGTCCTTTGGCTTATCTTTTCAGTTCTTTTTTTTTTTTTTCTTTTTTCAAATTTTCTTTCTAAAAATGTTTTATTTATTTAGCTTAGGGTCTCACTATGCAGCTCAGACTCATAGTGATCTTCCTGTCTCAGCCTCCCCAGCGCTGCCATTACAGGTGTGTGCTACCATGCCTGGTTTTGGTGGCTGGCACAGCGCCCAGAGTTCTGGGGCTGGCACAGCATGCAGTACTTGGAATCGAACTTGGATCTTTGAGCTTGCCAGGCAGGCGCTTAGATCGCTGAGCTATCTCTCCAACCCCTGAATTTTTTTCTTTTTTTTTTTTTTTTTAATTGGTCTGTTTTAAATATACATAATGATAATGTTCATAATAGGGATTTCATAACTATACATCATATATCTTTATTCTTTTTTCCCATTCTTCCCCCCTCCCTGCAATCATTCTTTTCCTTATTGAAAAAGGCTTTATTTTCATTTTTCTTTTTTTTTTCTCTTCCTTCCTCCCATTCACTCTCAGTTCCCCTTCTCATTTGACATTTTCTTTCAGTTTTCCAATATCTGTTCTACATATTGGTCCTTATTTACACTTTCAGTTTCTCATGCCAGAGAAACAATGTATTGAAACATTTATTTCACTTGAGAATAGTCTCAAGGTGCATTCATTGACCTACAAATGTCTCAAGCTTGTCCTTTGTGGCAGAGTAATATTCTATTATATAGAAAACCCATATCTTCTTTATCCCTTCATCGATTGATGGGCATTTAGGCTGCTTCCAAGATTTAGCTGTTATAAACTGTGTCATTAAATTTGGGTGCACATATATTGCTGTGGTGTCATACTTTTAATTCTTTAGGAAAGATATCAAAAAAGGTGGAATTTTGGGGTCTTCTATGTGGAACATTATGTCATCTGCAAATAAAGATAATTTAACTTTTCCTTTCCTATCCATAGTCTGTATCACTCGATTTACTTTTGTCTCTTAATTTTGCTGAGGAATACTTGTATAATTTTGTAATGTATAGGTCTTTTACAACTTTTGCTAGATTTAGTTTTAATGTTTAATATTTTTATGGTGTTGTAAATGATATTTTTCAGGTTAATTAATTTTACGTCATTCTCCTAATGTCATAAACTCTTCTGTTGTAGCCTCAGCTGGTATCAGGGCCTCTGCATGGAGAGCCTGGCGTCTTTTCCAGATGTTCAGTGAATTTCTATTGATAGCTCTGTGTCTTAGAGTGAGCACTGAAAGTAAACTTGTCAGGGTTGCCCCAGGTAGCTGTGCCCCTCCTGGCTAAAGTATAGCACTTTTAAGTATTTGCCATCAGCAGCAGCTTCATGGGCTCGGGCTCAGAGGTTTAGATCATACCAGTGGGTCTGGGAATAGAATAAAGTTCACTGACATGCATCCCATTGCGTTTCTTTTTTCTTTTTTCTTTTTTTTCATAATTTTATTGATAAGCAAATAGCAATGAGAGAGTTTCAAATCAAATTGGAGAGACAGTTTCAATAATTAACACATTGCATACATTTTTCCTAGTGGTTCCCATTGCCTTTCAAGTAACAGTTTGGGGTTTGTTGGGCTTGTCCTCCTCACCTCATGATCCTGCTCCACAGGACAGTGGAGGGTTGGCCACAGTGATAGCCCCACTGTTGCCAGTGGCTGTCTCTATGGAGCACTTACCAGCCAAATCGATGTGCTATTAGTAATCTGTAGTCTGATGGTGACAAATGCTTTATGTGACTGACAAGTGTGCGTTTGCTTTGCACAGGCATAAGGAATATCCCTGGGAAAAAGTCAGAGATCTGACTCCATGAGAGGCAGGAAAAAGAAATAAATCTCCTTTTCAGGAATAAGAGGACCTGATCATTATTCTTGACCTGGGAAAGTCCTTCTTTGATGGTTAAATTATTAGGAAGAAAGGGTTTGTGAAAGTGTGTTGATTTGGAATTATTTTTTGATTATTGATTGCCATTCCCTTTTCAGCCTTCCAGTTGTCTCAGGTTGCAGAATATTGGTGGAGTGATTTTCATTAGTTGTTCTTTTTGATTGACTCTTGGCAGGTACTGGAGGCACAGAGAAGGCATCAGAAGGAGAAATCTGGTATCATACCTACCTCGCCAACACCCTACACGTACAACAAGGTATATAAAAGATATATAGCTTCATCCTGAGAATATAGGCCCTCTCTTCTGGTGAGGTGTTTGTAGCCCTGTGAGAAAGTGGCCAACTGCAATCTTAATGCTTGATATTCCAGCTCAAAAGACTTGAACGACTTCTGTCGTTCCTTTATGTGGTACTGAGGATCAAACCCAAAGCCTTTGCCTTACATCTCCAGCCCCCTTAAAAAATTTTTAAGGGAGCCGGGAAGATAGCTCAGTGGAATAAGTGCTTGCCTGGCAAGCATAAGGGCCTGAGTTCGATCCCTGTTACTACATAAATAATAAACAGCCAGATATGCAGAAAATTCAAGTTTTTGTCTGATAAAATGAAAGATGTTCTTACCTATTTAACTTTTAGAGAACCAAGGGCATGGCTGCCTATAAGGGTATATATTTGGGGCTGTATAGTCTGCTGACCATATTAAAAGGATATCACTGGTTTGCTTTTGGAAGTAGAGGCCATTTCTAAGATACCAAATATGTAGAGCATTCTATGGTTATTTGTGGTACCATTCTTTCTTAACTCATAAAATATCTAACTTAAAATTGTCCTGGGGCGAGGGGAAGCCTCTTGTTAAAAAAAAAAAAAAAAAAAAATTTGTCCTGAGGAAGAAGGATTGCAAGTTTAAGGTCAGACTGGGTTACATAGCAAAATCCTATCTCAAAACAACAGTAGCAAAACAAAGATAAAAAACAAAAATCTGATGTTCACAATGTCCAATATGTACAGTAGTTGCTTCTAAATGTCATTTGGTACTATCATCGTTTATTTTCTACTAGGCCATATATTGAGCACAAGAGTTTTAGGATTTAGGGCTTCTGAAAACAAGTCTTGGAGATCAGAAGAAAATGAAGCCACTTGGGGACTTGAGGCAATAGAGATGACAAAGAAGGAGCTGAGGATGGTAAACCTTGTGGGAGACCTGCTTTGGCTCCACAACTCTTTTTTTTTATTTCCTTTTTTATTAGTACATGTTTGCAGTACAAACACATTCTTTGTGTAGAGTTGATACGTGTACATAACACATCTTAAGTCTTTCTTTCACCCATTTCTCCTCTTCTGTCGTTCCTTTATGTGGTACTGAGGATCAAACCCAAGGCCTTTGCCTTACATCTCCAGCCCCTGTAAAAAATTTTTAAGGGAGCCGGGAAGATAGCTCAGTGGAATAAGTGCTTGCTTGGCAAGCATAAGGGCCTGAGTTCGATCCCTGGTATTGCATAAATAATAATTAATTAAGATTTTAGAGGTCAGGGAGATGGTTCAGTGGAATAAGCGCTTCCCTGGCAAGCGCAAGGGCCTGAGTTCAATCCCCAGTTCTATTTAAAAAAAAAATTTTAAGGCAGGGTCTTGCTGAGTTTTTCAAGCCTGCCTTGAACTGAAATCCCCCTGCTTCAGCTCCCATGGTGGTAGGGTTGCAGGCATGATGCACTATGCCTGGCTTGATTTTGGTCATTTTAAAGATCCCTTTTCATCTCTAATTTTATAATAACATGCATGCATCATAGTGTCCACATTCACTGATATGATGCCAAAACATAGGTGAGAGTGCTTGTGACACTTGTTTTCAGTCTTTCCAAGAAGCACACAGCTATGGTCAAGGAGGATCACGCTATCTCAGTAAGAGGCTCAGTGAGGTGCTCTTCTTAAGCAGATTCTTGTCCCAAACTTCAAACCCATTTTCCAAGAAAAATAGAGCTACACTGAACTAAAATAGGAATCCTTTCTTTATTAATTATCATGCGGTGAGTACTGGCACATAGTCACCTTAATACCCACTGACATGGTAATTTTTTTGTTTTATAACATCTTCCCTTAGTGACATAAGGTTATGCAAATGGGCTGAGTCCTTCATGGCCAAAGGAATGTTTTTATTTTTTTTAAATTTTATTTATTTATTTATTTATTTATTAGAGAGAGAGAGAGAGAGAGAGAGAGAGAGAGGTGTGTGTGTGGCCAGCTCAGCCCACCAGGGGGCGGGGCTGGCTGGCATGTGGTGCTGGGGGATCGAACCGCGGTCCCTGATGCTTTGCTAAGCTTGTTCTAAGTAGGTGCTTTAGACCACTGAGCCATCTCTCCAGCCCCAAAAGGAATGTTTTTAGATAGCTTATTTTTTCTGGTGCCTTGCCCTACTCGGTCAAATTTCTTTGGGCTTTTTTAGAGTGGATTGTGCTGTTACTGGGACACCTATATTTGTCTTAGCTGCTTTGTACTGAGTCCTCAACCCTACCTAGGCTGACATAATACATTTTTCACAGTGAGTTAGTTTATATTCTGCTTCTTCTCTGGCTGAGAGCACAGTATCCTACACCTATTCCCAAGAATCAGATATGATCCTTGGGCTTAAGCATTGAGATAAAAGGTGACCATTTTATCTCAGACTGGCCTTCTGTGATAATGTGCACATATATTGTGTTAGTGGTGTACAAAATATGAAGAACTGGGCATGGTGGTACATACCTGTAATTCCAGCCCTTGGAAGACTGAGGTAGGAGGATTGCCCCAAATATTAGGATAGCCTGGGCCACATCGTGGGTTGAAGGTCAATGTGGATTATACAAGAATCTGTCAACAAAGAAAAGACAGAAAATAAGAGAATGCCAAACACAGTAGTGCATGCTTATAATCTGTGTGAGCTACTTAGGCGGCTGGAGCAGAAGGATCGCAAGTTTGATACCAGCCTGGACAACTTGGACTGTGTTGCAGAATAAAAAATAAAAAGGATGTAGCTTGGTGGTAAGGGACTCAGTGATGTCCTCGTGCAATACCCATTACCTCCAAAAAAGAGAAAGGTTAGGTCTTCTAGGAAGTCCTTGTACTGTTCTAACTCTGGTAAGTGATTTTTGGATGTGTCAGCCTATGTATGTTAGCATTTCTCCTGAGCCATATTTTGGGTTCTAGCTGTGTTGTGAATGACCATTTTCTTTTTTGTTTTTAGAGCTGTGACTTATGGTCCCTAGGGGTGATTATCTATGTGATGCTGTGTGGATATCCTCCTTTTTATTCCAAACATCACAGTCGGACTATTCCGAAGGATATGCGGAGAAAGATTATGACAGGCAGTTTCGAGTTCCCGGAAGAAGAATGGAGTCAGATCTCAGAGATGGCCAAAGATGTTGTGAGGAAGTAAGTCCCTGGGCTGCTGGCTGGGGAGGCTAAGAAGGCCTCAAGGTGGTAGAGCCCCAGGAAATGCTGGATAGAGAGAAGTCATTTGTTTTTCTGGTTAGGCTTCTTGTTTTACTGTCACAGAAATCTTATCCCTTGAACTGCACAGTAAGAGCTCTGAGTGTCCACACCTCAGGGAAAATGGAGCTTTTCTTCCTTCTATTGCACTCTTAGACTTATGTTCTTGAAATAAGAACATGAATCCAGGTCCCTCTGTAGTCTCTGTGAGCATTAACTTAGGGTCGTAGGTGGCAAACCTCCAGATGTGGCTGTCTTCTTGAATGTAGGCCACTCACTGGGGAGGGATCTGATTCACAGACTGAACTGGGATGCTAAGATGACGAGATAGTTGGCTTTTCCTTTCTTGGATGTTGTCCTAATCTGTGGTTCTATTAGGTCTGGATCCCACCATCCAGTCTTCTCAGAGTTGGTTGCTCTGAAACATATTAAACTGGGAAAATTTAGTTAAGAATTTGGGCTAATGAATAGATAAGACAGAGTCACAGAGACTTTGGTATTGGGAGTATTAAAGCAATTCTGAATTTGGGATGTATTTAATATTTCTGCCCACCCAAATTGTACACTGGTATTTTATTCCTAATGCTTGAATTCACTGACTGGTATCTCCATTGTTGGTCTATTAAGTGTTAAAGGGATAGTACTCAGAAGCTATCTTCTGAGACTGCAGCTATTTCTCTGTGGAGATTACACCCTTTTAAAAATGAGCTTGTCCTGTTAGGAAAAACTAGGAACTAGAAAAAAGGACTACACTAAAATAGAGTAATAAATTTTTTTAGAATGGGGACACGGAATCCTCATCTGTCTTCACATGCTATTTTCATGCTATATGTTCAATTGTTTAACCAAATCTTTAATGTTCTCTCTGGTTGTTTGCCAATTTTCTGTAGAATACATTTTTTTTTTTTTTTTTTTTTTCCATAGAGCAACACTCCTTATCTTTCTTTGGCTTTGGGATTCTTTTCTGAATAATCCTTATTTTAGAGATCTGAAGCTGTTCATTCAGAATGATCCAGAAGTTTGTACAGTATCAGAAAGGGCAGTTAGGCTTGTGGTTCTGACTCTGACACTTGGAGTGGGAGAATATATAGTTGGAAGGGAGTGGTACTGCAGAGGGCTCAGGAAACATGCATGATAAGGTGAGTTAGGAATCGTGTTAGCATGAATAGACAAGAAGTAAAAGTTTTACTAAAAAAGCAAATGATGAAGAGGCATTATGTTAGGCCTAAAAGAAATGCCAACTCCTTCTGTTTAGTTTTTGAATGTCTGCAATCAAGAAAGACATGTGTCCTACCACATGATGATATGACCCTTCAACTAATTTTGTCACCAGTATTAAGCAAGAGTACTTCAAATTCTTTTGTAAGTTAGAACCCATTGTTTTAGAAATTCAGTAAGGAGATTCAAGATCTCAGAAACTATGAACCATGTAAGATTACCATAGTGAACCCTAGAACTCTGAAGTATCACTGGATTAAGCTTTTTTTGTACCATTTTTTAATCTCTAGTATATAATGGGACCACCTAAAGACACAGTATCTCATAACAAAGGGTTGGGGTGGAGTATCTCATTTCTCCTCTGCGAGGAGAAGGCATAGGCCTGTGGGAATTGGTGGAAAGGCAGAAGCAGCTTAAAAAAAAAAAATGAAAAGAAGCTACAGCTGATAAAGAGCCATACCCTGGAACTCCCTGTGCTTCCTTGTGGGGCATCTGTGGATGGCAGCCTGTTCTTTTCTCCACAGGCTCCTGAAGGTCAAACCGGAGGAAAGACTCACCATTGAGGGAGTGTTGGATCACCCATGGCTCAACTCTACTGAGGCCCTTGATAATGTGCTACCCTCTGCTCAACTGATGATGGATAAGGTTTTGAATGATACTTATTTTGTTGGCTGAAAAGGCAGTGTTGAGAAAGGAATAGCTCTGGTTTCCTGAAAACCAGGAAAGAACTTTTTTCCATAAAAAAACCACATCAAAAAAAAAAAAAAGTAAAAGAAAATCACATCAAAATCTGGTAAATATGTACTAATGGAACACTCAAAGGAATGTCCTCCATATTTATGATGTGGTTTGAGGGGTACAGAGCAGTAAGGACACCCTTCCCTGAGGGGCTTACACAAAACTGGTTAGGAATATAAGGCCAGTACACACAAAGAAGAAACTTGTCAGACATCAAAAACTTTGCAGATTAAATTTTCTGTGAATGTTATGGGAATTCAGAAAAAGAACACCTCCAAAGGTCATGTAATTTGCTGCACAAGAAGGCAGAAACCCTCACACTTACTATCTGCTGTGTAGCGGCTTCTAAGCTCTTTCACAGATTCAGGCTAAGCTGTCCTAGAGGAATTTCAGTAGACTGTGCAAGTGTCCATGTGAAATGAAGAACATGAGCATAAAATAGAGACTAAAATTCATCAGTAGAAAGACAGCTTGGCCTCACTAATGAGCAGTCAGTGAGACAGGTATGGCAGAGCCAAGCAAGGAGACACTGGGCTGCAACTGACAGGCCATGTGGATTTTTGAGAAGAGTTTTGCTATTTGGAGTATATTTAGGATGGTCGTACAGATTTGCAGACCTACCATCTGCAAATGGTAAGTTTGTTCAAAGATGGCTCTGGGAACAAAGACATAGAGATAGATAATAGGTGCAGTATCTACAATGAGAAATTCTGTAGGTGTATTTTTTTTTTTTCTTCAGTTTTATGTGTTTGGTACAAGGTCTCACTACGCAGCTTGGACTTATAATGGTCCTGTTTTCAGTCTCCCCAGTGCTGGGATTACAGGTGTGCACCACCCTACCTGGCTCAGCATGCTCGGGGTCAGGGTCAGGGGTGAGGCTGGCACGCCGTGTGGTGCCAGGGATCAAACGAACCCCTGTGTTTGCCTAGGCAGGCACTTGGACCCTGAGCTATCTCCATGGCCCTGTTTCTGTAGTTTTCTGTGATGTGTATATACAAAGAGATAGTGGCTGGCTTAGATGGTAATAGGACTGGCAAACAGAGAAATCAGGAAAGAGGCTGCTTTCTATGAGGTCTTATAGGCTACAGATATTGACTGAGATAACAGAGGGATATTGAAGTGAATGAGATGTGTACTACAGGACACCAGTCTGGCTGAGCTGAGTATTACCAGCTTTAAAAGGATGGGGTCAAAGTTTGAAGAGTATGTGAACAAAGTCTGTGGTGGTACACTGTAATCCCAGCACTCAGCACTCAGGGAAGCTGAGGCAGGAGAACCATTATGAGTTCGAGACCAGCTCAGGCTACAAAATGAGTTCAAGGCCAACCTGAACTGCATAGTGAAACCCTGTTTCAAAAAGACAAAAAAAAAGGGCAAGTGAACAGCCCAAACCAAACAAACAAATACATAACGCTGAGTTTAGCCAGGAGAGTAGGAGAAAAAGAGCAGGAGGAAAGAGACTTCTCTGCCATCTCTTTCATTTGTGGATAGTTATCTTCCTCCTTTAAATGTGCCCAGTTATCCAGAAATGATATGGCCAGGTCATGGTCCAGAAGAATTCTTAGATCCAGGTTGTTAGCAACATGAAGGTTACAGTATAGCATTCTTTAAGATCTTAGAAATGAAGAAGTAATATTGCTTTTTGGAGTTACTTAAAAAATCAGTACATAATGAAGCAAAGCCTGAATAATGCAGAATCTGTAAAGACAGAGTGGTTCCTAAGGCCTAGAAGAGCACTGTAATATGACAGAGCATTCTCTTTTCTAAAGAAATCATGTGGTCAGGATGTTAGTACAAAAATGGTTTTATATACAGATGTTTAGTAGCATCCGTTTAAGTCCTACCTAGGATGTAGGTAGCTATTTTCATCTTTTTCATTGGGCCATTAGTGATGGATGAGGCCAGAGATGAGAAAATATACTAGGATGGGCTATAAATACATAGGGCCCTTCAGTGAGCTTGAACTGTTCTTGACCTGACTGCAAGCTCACTAAGGAACTCACTGCTTTTTAAAGTTGCCAAAAAAGTTCACTTTTTTTTTTTTTTTTTTTTTTTTTTAAAGAGAGGGTCTTGCTGTGTAGCTGAGGCTGGCCTTGAACTACCGGCAATCCTCCTGCCTTAGCCTCCTGCGTGCTTCAATTCCAGGGTGTGCTACCATGTGTGGCTTCAGTACTTCTTAAAGTTGCCAAATTCTGTTGTTAGAATTCAGATCAAATAGAAGTATTAAAATAAAAATCAAATTCATTCTGCCACAGTCTTAACCTATCAGAGATAGGCTGTGGCTTTATGTATCTGTCCTGATATATACTCACAGTTGGAAAAAGGGAACATCTTATTCCTACAAAACAACCTACTGATTATTTGGCTTTTTATCTTGGTCTACCTATGGTGAGGATGCACATTGGTCATAAAGGCACAGATTTAGAGTTCCAGACTCCATAAATGTTATTTCTCACTGAGAATTAGTTGACTTGTTTATCCTTTGGGATATGGTCTTAATTCATCAGGGTCTGCCCTTTGGGTTGGGCTAGGCTCAGAGTTCTAAATTATCAGGGTTGAGGTGACTGTGCCAACTATGGGGGCAGTGAATAAAATGGCAGTCTGTAAAGTTTCTCGGGCAGCAGCTGGCCACTGGTTTTCCTACTTACTCTCCTTGGTGGCAACAAGCACAAGCTTTATTAGTATTTCTTATATTTTTCTTCCTAATACTAAGGAGGAAAGCCTACTGGTATGTGGCCTTTGATTGTTCTGGCATTCCTTGGGGCCTACAGATCCAGTAAATCTTGTTTATCAAAATTTGTATATTATTGGGTGCTTGTGGCTTAGCTCAGTTGTTTACAGTGCCTGCTTGGGCAAACTCAGGCGTAGGGGACCGTGGTATGATGCCCACCTCCATAACCTGCACCAGATCCACTCTTAAGGCACCCTAAGCTAGCCCCATCCCCCCAAAAAAAATCCTTTTAAAATTTTTCTATTATTAGCATAAGAGTGAAACTGCCTTTGGAATACTTTAGACTTTTCCTTCTTAGGATTTAGATATCCAGCAGTGAATCAAGAACTGATCACAGTTTTTATATTTAGGCAGTGGTTGCAGGAATCCAGCAGGCTCATGCAGAGCAGTTGGCCAACATGAGAATACAGGACCTGAAAGTCAGCCTCAAACCCCTACACTCAGTGAACAACCCCATTCTGAGGAAGAGGAAATTACTCGGGTAACTGAGCTGTTTCTTTGATTCTTCGTGGCTATTGTGGTTGATTGCTGAGTGGTAAATGCTCAGCCAAGAGTCTGCCTCTTTTTCCTTTCTTTTTTTTTTTTTTTTTTTTTTTTTTTGCCTCTTATGAACATAGAAAGGATAAACTCTTTACATAGCATCAGAAACTGGGCACATTCTGTAATTATTTATCTGAAAATTCTTGTTACCTTGTGTTTAGAGTTAGTATCTGTTAAGGGTTGAGTTCCAAGGTTCTCACTTTGTTGTTATCTCTCCCCTAAACTTTCAAAGCACCAAGCCAAAGGATGGTGTTTACATCCACGACCATGAGAATGGAGCTGAGGATTCAAATGTTGCCTTGGAAAAGCTTCGAGATGTGATTGCTCAGTGTATTCTCCCCCAGGCTGGTAAAGGTCACACCATTTACTAATGCTCTGTGTGCATGTGTGCATGCACATGTGTATGCATATGACAAAAGGAATGACTTGATTTGGACTTGTCTGTTTTATCTTTGTGTTAAAAGAAGATAAATACACTATATAAATTAGCCTGTATCCAATAAAGAGTGGGCAGTGGAAGTCCAGAAATGTGATAAGTTCTGTGTTTCTTAGGGTTTCCTATGGGCTTAATTGTCATTGTTAGGTATCGCATGTAATTTTGTGTTATATTAATATGACGAGGGCACAGAATGGAGGATGAAGAATGAAAGTACAGAGGGTCGAGATTAGGTTGCAGGCTGTGAACATCATTTTTAGTCTTTAGAATACACTACCACATTTAGCTTGTAAATATAAGGAGAATACTGTTTTAGTTCAGAACTAGCACTTGGCACAGGCAGCTTAACTTACACATGATTTTTTGTTGGTGAGAGCTTTCTTTCCATGTGTTCTCTCATCAGAACGATGTAATGTGAAGAGCTATTCTCAGTTGATAAATGGTAGGCTTCATGGATTAAGCCAAAAAATGACGTACGTGATTCCTTGGTTTTAAAAGAACTCTTGTGAACTCATGTAATATGTCTCAGCCTTTTAAAGCAGTGGATGAGCTGAGGAGAAAGAAGATCCACATAGTCTTGTTTTCCTCCCCTCCTTTGGTCTTAGGATGGCCAGGTATTTTTGCTCAGTGACAGTCTGCTAAATCCTATTGCTTATCACCTAATATTGAAGGAGCTATTAGAGCATTCATGTGAGAATGTCAAGATTGAAGAGTTGATAGACTAGAAGTGGTTGATATATAATGTAGGGACTAGCAGTAAAGCTAGCGTCTGGTGAAGGTTTACACATTTAGTCATCATTTCTGAACTAGTTGGACATCATGTCCTTCCATCTCTGACACTAGAATCCCATGATGCTGCAGGAAAAATGCAACTTCCTCTTCATCCTTACCAATAGGAGAGAATGAAGATGAGAAGCTGAATGAAGTAATGCTGGAGGCCTGGAAGTATAACCGGGAATGCAAACTTCTAAGGGATACCCTGCAAAGCTTCAGCTGGAATGGTAGGGCCCTTAATCACTCCTTTCCTCCATAATGCAGAAGTGATTATTTTTAGAATATGTACTATCTCTCTTTGGGGCCTTAACATGGGGCTGTTTTCAGATGAAGTGAAGCTGGAGGATGACTGGAATATTGACAGAGTGGTATTAGCTCTATATTAACTGCCCAAGCATATGTGGATATGTAGTCCTTTCAGTTGTTTTCCAGAATTCAAATTAATTATGTGATGCAGAGTCAACACTGGAAGGCCTCTATTATGCACCACTTGAGTAAACTAATCCCAGCTCACAGAACTCTCCACGTAACTGGGCTGTGTTCATCAGATCATTAAGGAACAGCATACACTAAAGGGGACAAAGAAGAAAAAGTGCCAAGAAGTTCAACCTGCTGATCTGCTTGCTAGAGAGGAGCCATTTCACTCAAGAATAGGAAATTTGCCAGATCTGTTGGTTGAAATTTGTCCCTAGGAGAACAAGTACAGGGATACATTTCCTTTTAAAAATTTAAATAGCATTTTGGAACTGATTTTTATATAGTTAAGTTCCTGGTTTATGAACATTCCTCACAGATACAAATGGAGCTTGTATTACAAGCAGCAGTAGAGGTAAACAAGTCATGGAATTAGCTCACCTGTCTATTGCTGTGTGCTAACTGTAGTGTGATGGTGTGTAGTGGTACAGTACTCATCAGAGCCCAGGATGTCCAGAAGCAAGAGGAAAAGCAGTGGGGGTGTGGCAGGAAACAAAGCAATATAAATTGTATATTTGTATATAAAACTTGCTTTGTTGGATTTACTTATGAATGTTCTCCCAGAATAAAACTCATTCATGTCAGGGACTTAGTGTATTGTCATTCCAGTTTATCACATTACTTATGATGAATTCCAGGATGTACAGGGAAAGGAACAAACTGAGTTTGTTTCTTGTATGTGCCTTTGGAAAAGAGGGATGGGGACTATCCTGTCCATTCTCCTGCTTGGAAGAGATTAATTTCCCTGTTTTTTAGTTTTATTTATTTTATTATTTATTTTTTTGGCAGAACCGGGGATTGAACTCGGGCTCTTGCGCTTGCCAGGCAAGCACTTATTCTACTGAGCTCTCTCCCCAGCCCTTTTTTAAAAATTTAAGATATATCAGCAGTCTAAAACAGTAATTACATGAATCGTTGTTTACTGAATTTTCACAAGACGAACACTCCTTGTAACTAGCACCTACGTTATATAGTGAAACATATACTGTGTTCCAAGTTGTTGTTTCTACTACTGTAGATTAGTTTTGGCTAGTTTTGTAATTTATGTAAATAGAATCAGACAAGTCTTTGCATCTGGCTGCTTTTAGCTGATGTTCTGTTTGTGAGTTCTGTCCATACTGTTGTGTAGCACATGATTCATTGTCACTATATGCATATGCTGCATTTATCCATTTTATTGTCAAGTGGATATTTGGATTGTTTCTAGGTTTTATTAAGAAATGGGCTGCTATAAATATCTTGTCTATGCTCTTAATTAACAATTTGTTTCTCTTACATAGCTAAATTAGATTTGCTAGTCCAGGCAATGCCACCAGTTTTTTAAAATGGTAGTATGAATTAATGAAGTCCCGTAAGCAGTGTTTGAGAGAAATAATTATTTTATACCCATACCAACTCCTGCTATTGTCTTAACTGTTCTTGTTAGTGTGCAGTGGTGATTTATTTAGGTATCTTCCCCACTGAATGCAGCTTTCTTACAGATGTGTAGGAGTTCTTTATATATTTAGGGAATGTGTCCTTCATCAGACATACATACATCTTTGTGATTTGGTTTTATGTTGTAGGGCATTTTGGGTTTTTACAAGCAGGTTAGCAGAACAGCTCAATTGCTGTCAGAAAAATGGGAGATTCAAAATTGCTTTTGGTCCATGTTGAGGGTGGTTTCTGCATTGGTCAAAGTGAGTTTGAGACTGGTTAGGTGACCTCACTAGGTTCCTGTCCAAAGACCAGCACTTCTCAAAGTTTGACAACTGACCTTGTTGTTTTTTTTTTTTTCTTGAGTTTCAGGTCATGGATTCACAGATAAAGTAGATCGACTAAAACTGGCAGAAATTGTGAAGCAAGTGATAGAAGAGCAGACTACTTCCCATGAATCCCAATAATGACAACTTCATACTTTGTTTTTTCTTAACAGTTTGAAAAAATATTGCTTAATGTATAAAGTAATTTTTATGTAAATTAATAAATCATAATTTAATTTTCACATTGTTTAAAGTTGCTATAGATTTAGGTACAGGATTTATTAATAGTGTAATTATTGTTTTTAAGAAAAGCTCAATTCCTAGAGACATGTTATTACTCTATAAGACTGTTTAATCTTATATTTGTAAGATGATAGATGGTATTGTCAAGCAAGGTTGATTTATTTGTAATAAAGTATTCAAAAACTTGCTAGAGGTACATACAGGACCAACTGTACTGACCTTTCTGCTTATGAACAGTCAAGTCAAATACTGTGGAGCCTGGCTTCAATTGCTCTGTGTACATATTTTGTACTTCATTGGTAGATTAGCTCTAGTACCAAGAAATTGTTGTGTGTCCGGCATTGGAGACTTAAATTGCTGGAATTCACATGAAGCATGCTTGGGAGCCTCAGGAGCCAGTTCTCATAATAAAAAAGGCAGAGAATAGTGCTGTCATTTTTCTTGCACTTAATTCCCCCGAGGAAAATGACATTTCCTTCCAGTCATATTTGTTAAAAGAGTATTGATGTATTTCTTAAATCTAATGGGATTTGCTTTGAGTTTATTCTTTACAGGTTTAATGACAGCTGCCTCCTTTCCCCTTCCTTGAGGTCCCACTTGTTCTCTCCCTCCCCACTTAACCCTCACCTGTTTTATTACTTTTCTTTCTCTTCTGCTTCACTATTTGGGGTGCTTTTCCTGAGAAAGTTATATATAACAGAAACTGTACTATTAGACTTGCATATAAAGTTATCTAGCTTTTTTAGCTGCTCTTTTTCTCTATAATATTTCTTCTTGGGACTGGGGAGATGGCTCAGTGGAATAAGCGCTTCCCTGGCAAGCGCAAGGGCCTGAGTTCAATCCCTGGTTCCACAAAAAAAAAAAAAAGAAAAAAAAAAAGAGTTTCTTCCTGCATTTCTTACTAGCTTCCCCTGGGCTGTATTTATTTTCTTCAGTACCCTTCATTTTTATAAAGCATGGTTCTGGCCCAGAATACAGCTATTTGACTGGAAAATTCTAGTTTTCTGTTGTAGATATGAATGCAATTCTTTATTTTTAAGCAGTATTTGGTGGGTACCTATGTTAGTGAATGGAAGAGCTAATAGGCAAACTCCAGTTCATGGCACAGGGTAACAGGATGAGTAGTCTGAGTTATTCAGTTTTATTCTACCGTTTCTTTAGTCAAAGTTGGTCCTACAGGATTCATTCCTTTTCTAATCCCTCCATTTTGCTGAGTGTGTCTTCAGGTTGGTATGTCCCTATGTAAAGTGACTGGAAATATATAACAGATGGTGTCACTGGGCAGGGTGGTACATGTCTGTAATCCCAGCTCTCAGGAAGCTGAAACAGGAGGATCTCCACGAGTTCAAAGCCAGCCTGTGCACATAGTATGTTCAAGGCCAGACTGAAATACATAGCAGGACCCTGTCTCATAAAACAAACAAACAAACAAACAAAAAACCAAAAAGCCAGAACAAATACATGGTGTCTTTTAAGAATTACATTATACTGATTCTCTTTTATCTTGCAGAATATGCAATTCATGGTTTGTTTGTTTTTTTTCTTTTGAGGGAGGTTCACTAATCTTAGGTGATGTGACTGATAGCTGTTAAAAGTAAAAAAACACTGCAAGAAGAATGGGTAACAAAATCTGAGTGAGGGGGCTGGCGAGATAGCTCAGTGGACTAAAGTACCTGCTTAGGCAAGCGTAAGCAATAGCAGGGACCGCAGTTTGATCCATGGCACCACATGCTGGCCAGGTTGGTATGTGGTAAGCCCTCAGCAGGCTGAGCAGGCCAGAGTCCGGGGTAGAGTGGTGCACCCTTGTAGTCCCAGTGCTGGGGAGGCTGAAAGCAGAAGGATCACCACAAGTCTGAGCTGCGTAATAAGACCCTGCAACAATCGAGTACATTTTAAAAAAAATCTGAGGTAGTTAAAAAATGTATATGTATCAGCTGTAGACTTACGAGCCTACTCAGCTTTTCAGTGAAATCAGTTTTTGCCGTCAGGGAAAGCTGCACTTTGTTTCTATAATGTCTGAGCATCTGTAGTGTTCTGTCTTAGGACAGAGTTTATGGGAGGAGGAAGGTAGTAAAAACCTGACAGCATACAGTGTACAATTAGCAAATTTATCACTTAGGTATATTCTAAAGGCTTAGCTGATTGTCTCTTTGTTCCAATTTTAGTATATGTGCTGCCAAAGCCAGCACTGATTGTCTCTTTGGTGTGATGAATTTTAGCATGGTGTAAGAATATATAAAATGATGCCTTCTTTTTGAGCATCAAATGCCCATGTTGCACTTACTTTAGGCTGAATTCATCTGGCCTCTAAAATGAAAGCAGTGTGTGTCCAGCATAGTGCTGGAAGTCTGTGAGAACCTCAGTGGATGCCTCAGCTGTTGTAACTCAAAAATGGGTTCTACCTTGTAGAGATCCTTGAAAACAATCTGAGGAGGTCCTGCACTACCGTGTTCAGAGTAAGGTTTTATTTATATATTCCTAGGCTATTAGAAAATTCTACTGTAACATGAGGTTTGCCAATAATACAAAAGCCACGTTAACAAAATGAAATTATGTCTTACAGCCTGTTTATCCCCTATACTTGTGGAAACACTGTAGGAATAGTTCTTAAAGTAGTAGGTTTCAGCCTCTAGTTTCCCTATGATTTGTTAACCTGCTTAATAAAACTATTATTAGTCACCCTAATAGATTTAGATTATACCACAGTTGTAAGTCTGCTTAATGTAGAGTAACGTGTGTTTTTGGCTGTTAGGTTGTAGGACTATGGGGAATGTCTCAGAAATTTACGTTTTGAAATACACAGAGGAGGAATTGCTTTTTAAAAAAGTTTATGTTGCTTGGGGATTTTTTTGTTTGTTTGTGACAGGGTCTTGCCATGTAGTTCAGGCTGTGTTGAATTTATATACTATGTAGCCCAGGCTGGCCTCAAGCTTGTAGTGATCCTCCTGCCGCAGCTTTCTGATTACAGTTGTGCACCACAATGCCCAGTCTTGTTACTTGTATTCATGTAAGAACAAGTTAAGGGTATATACTCACACACACAAAGTAGAAGTTGAATAATTGGCACTGTTGATCAAAGAAATCAAAAGATTTAAGTCATATCTTGTTAGTATATTATCAAAGAAAATCATTTCAACTTAAGAATTAGAAAATAGGATATCTTATATTAATTATGTATTTTTTAATGGAAAAGTGTTCTCCCATTATTATTTTTGGAACCAGGAATTGAACTTCAGGACCTTGCTTGTACCAGGCAGGTGCCGTGCTGCTGAGCTATAGCCCCAGCTCATTCCATTACTGATTCTTGATTTTTTTTGTTGTTCAATTAAATAACAACCTAATTTTTGCCCTATTTGTTTTGATTAGATACAAAGAAATACCTTCCAGAATATATAATTTAAAGAGGTTTGCTCTTACACAAGCTACTGAATGAAAGTAAGTGCAGCTGGAAAACATTCACCATTAGTGCTATACATTTTTAAATGGGTTTATGATGACAGTATGAAATTTTTGCTAGATGTTAATGAAATACTTTACTATTTGTAATGAAAATTAAATATTATTATTTGAGAATAAGTAATGCATCTGAGATCTTATGATACCATATGATTTCTTTCTGAATCAGGGCATTTCTCCATGTTCAGGTATTACCACCCTGTATTTTAAAATTTTTATGCTGTAAATATTTGACTTAATATAAAATTATTTTTATGTAAGATAAAAGATGTAGACTCTTATTTTAACTACCTTAGGATGCACAAGATAATAAATAAATGGGCAGGGAATTGGTAGACAGGGCTTTTTTCTTTTAAATTTATAATGCTAAACACAACCAAGGAAATTGACATCAAAAACCAAGTTCAAGGACTTCCAGACATTTAATGAGCCAGGTGCAGTGCTACACACCTGTAACCTCAGGACGCTGGAGGCTGAGAGAGGAGAGTTGCAATGAGTTCGAGGCCAGCCTCAACTAGATAGTGAGATTCTGTCTCAGAAAAAGAAAAAAAAAAGTTCTTACGTAGCCTATTTTTCTTGATGAAATGGTTATTAATGATTAATCAGTTTGTTTTTATCCTACATTTTGTTATTACATTGAAGCAGTTGGGAAGAACTGAATTTTCATCCCTTTATGTTTCCACACTGAACATTTATCTAAGAATTTGGAAATACCTTAAAATGTTAGGTGATTTCCAGGATATATAATTTATAGTTTGTTCTTACATAAGCTGCAAAACAAAAAATAGGAAAAGTTCCTTAGGAGAAATATTTGGTAGAGAAGAATTGTATTTATAGGCAGATATAAGATGTCTAAACTCATTACTTATGAACAAAGGATAATGGGAACATCCAAAGGATATCCACATATAGTTTTTCATGAAGTAAAGGGAAAATATTTATGGACAAAAGGGGATTGAACTGAAAAATAGTACCTTGGAAATACCATGGAAAGGAAGGAAAAAAAATGCAGTGGCAACAGAGAACTCTGCCTTACTCAGAGATCCCTAGAGAACCCCCCTCCCCCTCTCCAGGGGCCCCTTCAGAATGTTGGGCTTCAAAGAATGAGCAGATTAACAAGTATCAGGAGTCATTTGGCCTGGGGAGAATAAAGGATAATTTGCCTGCATTAAACTACTGGCTGAATCACTACAGGTCTTCTATTTGGGTCATCTCTGCATGACCATCAAAGAAATTTAGCCAAGAAATATAATAGTTGTTGCTGTTGAAAGAAATTTCTGTACTGTAGATACTACCAAAGGTCAAGAGAGAAGCAAAAATAGGAAGAGAAACAGCCTGAAGGCCCTAAGATTCACTTGGTCAGCAACCACCCATGAAGGAACCAACATAGATCTGGAGATAATACCCAAGTCTCTAAAAGAGGCTTGTCAGAGAGCAGCTGCTGCTAGGAATAGACTTGTGTTACCAACGAATTCATTAGGACCATGTTGGTGGCAGAATCACTGAAAGAGTCTACCACAGTCCTACCTTTACAGAAAAAGCAAGTGGCCTTGGATGAAGTTAAGATAAGGTTTCAGATTTGGGATGCTCAAAAGTGGAAATGGAGGATAAGGCCAGTACCAAGACGTTCATGTTTTGTGTTAAGGATCTTCATGCTGTTGATAATACTTCTACCCAGCATGTACAGTTTAGAACCAGTGCATTACTCTTCCTATGAAATAGTCGTCCCCAGGAGTCTGACAGTCAAGGGAAGCGAAGCCCCAGGGGAAAAGACCACTTACCTGCTGCTTATGCAAGGCCAGAAGCAGCTAGTTCACCTGAAGCCAAAGAAAGACTATTTGGTGGATGATTTTCCAGTCTATAGTTACCACAATGGCACCCTGGGGCAAGAAATCCCTTCCATCTCACATGACTGTCTCTATGAAGGCTACATAGAAGGAGCACCAGGTTCGTTTGTGTCTGTCAGTACCTGTTCAGGTCTCAGGGGCATCCTGATTAAGGAGGAAAGAGCCTATGGCATTGAGCCCATACCATCCTCCAAGAAGTTTGAGCATGCGCTATACACCACAGCACATCAGGCTCCAGTCTCCTGTAAGGTCTCTGCCAAAGACAGCCAAGCGGTGTCCACCAGCTGGCAGCCAGGGAGCGGGAAGCCTCCCGATCTACAGGCTCTGTCCTCCTTGTGGTCACACACCAAGTACGTGGAAATGTTTGTCGTGGTCAACAACCAGCGGTTCCAGATGTGGGGCAGTGAGGTCAACGAGACAGTGCAGAGAATAGTGGACATCATTGCTCTGGCCAACGTCTTTACTCGAGGAATAAACACAGAGGTGGTGCTGGCTGGGATGGAGATTTGGACCGAGGGGGACCTGATAGAGGTGCCAGTGGACCTGCGAGTCACACTCAGGAACTTTAATCGCTGGAGACAAGAGGAGCTGTTCCCTCGTGTGAGGCACGATGTCGCCCACATGATCGTTGGGCATCATCCTGGCGAGACCTCGGGTCAGGCATTTCTCAACGGAGCCTGTTCCAGTGGCTTTGCGGCGGCTGTCGAAGCCTTCCATCACGAAGATGCTCTCCTGTCTGCAGCGCTCATGGCCCACGAGCTTGGGCACAACCTGGGTGTCCAGCATGACCACTCAGCCTGCGTTTGTAGAGATAAGCACTTCTGCCTCATGCAGGAAAATATCACTAAAGAGAGTGCCTTCAGCAACTGCAGCTCTGACTACTTCTACCATTTCCTTCATGAGCACAGAGGGGCCTGCCTATTTAACAAACCACAGCCAAAAGGCCGCAGACGCAGGGATGCCAACTGTGGAAACGGCGTGGTGGAGGAGCTGGAGCAGTGTGACTGTGGTTCTGCTTGTGACAGTGATCCATGCTGTGAACCAACATGTACACTGAAGCCGTACGCAGAATGTAGTCAGGGACTCTGCTGTGACAACTGTAATTTTAAAGAACGGGGGGATGTATGTCGTTTTGCTCATGATGAATGTGATCTCTCTGAATACTGTGATGGTACATCTGAAGAATGTCCTGCAGACAGCTACAAGGAAGATGGCACATTGTGTAACAGAATTTACTATTGCTTTGGGGGTGAGTGTAGGGACCCCGACCGACAGTGCCTGAATCTATTTGGCTCTCCTGCAAGATCTGCCCCTGAGGGCTGTTACTTGTCAATAAACGGTGAAGGGAACCGTTTTGGAAACTGTGGCCGTCCCACTAAGGATAATCAGGAATATATTCGTTGTCATGGTAATGATATATTTTGTGGAAAGCTTGTGTGTACAGATGTTGCAGTCTTGCCACCAATGTTGTCGAATTATACAGTGATCCAGGTTGCTCATGGAAATGACTGGTGCTGGAGCATGGATGCCTATAACAGCACTGAATATGATGTGGAAGATGGCAGCCTTTGTTCCTCAGATAATTTATGCATTAATTACATCTGTACTCAATATTCTATATCCCACCAAGAGTGTGATTCTGAGTTACTATGTCATGGGAATGGAATATGCAACAATTTAAAACATTGCCATTGTGATGATGGCTTTGCACCCCCTGACTGTGTATATCCAGGAAACGGGGGTAGCGTGGACAGTGGTCCTATTGTTAAGTCACCTGAGAAAAAATTAAGTACAGCTCTCCCTTTTTTTACTATTCAGGCTAGAGAGATGAACCTCAGAATGATAATACTCATAGTCCCTTCATTTCTTGTACTTTTACTATGTTCTCTACTTGTAATTGCTTATCTCTGGTCTGAAGTAGAGGAGGTGGTGGCGTCAGAGAAATCAGAGGAATCATTTGATTCTTCAGAAATCCCATCAGAAGTGTCAGAGGAGGCCCCACCACCAGAGGAAGCCCCTCCACCCGAGGAGGCCCCACCACCTGAGGAGGCACCTCCACCGGAGGCCCCGCCCCCCGAGGCTGCCCCACCACCGGAAGAAGCACCACCACCACCACCACCACCGGAGGCCCCGCCACCACCACCAGAGGCCCCACCACCACCACCACCACCACCACCGGAGGCCCCGCCACCACCACCAGAGGCCCCACCACCACCACCACCACCACCACCGGAGGCCCCGCCACCACCACCAGAGGCCCCACCACCACCGCCACCACCGGAGGCTCCACCACCACCCCCTGAGGCACCTCCACCCACATAGTCTCTGCTACCCAAAGCCCCAGAAAAGCCTGCACTCAAAGAGGAAGCAAGTGAAGGGCATGAAAACCCAGAGGCAGAATTTTAATGGAGGATGAAGCCAAATACATTAAAAGGCCTTAGAGAACCCAATGTGAAGGAACAGTTTATATCTGCAGTGGCTTTGATTGGATTATACCTTACTAATGAAGGGGAAGAGATTACCCCATTTTTAATATACATTGAAATATATAACAATATAAATTGGTTGTATTTTCATATATGAAATGGTACATAAAATATTTACTTTTTATGAAACAATTTTATTTAAACTCTTTCATGGACCATTACTATCAATGTTCTGTATCAACAGGGCTAATTTTGAGTCACCTGAAATTGATGAGAGCATTCCATCCTCTAGCTGCACTGCCTGACATAATGTGTCATTGTCCTTACACTGCTATAATTGAGTTAATCATCCCAATCATAACTTCTGTTTTGTTACCAATGTTACCCATGATTTGAATACACTATTTTGCTCTGTCAGTTTCTGTTCATGAAATATTGTTAATTTTTAAATAATAAAAGTTTTTTTTCCAGGGGGGGCAGCATTCCAGACTCCAAGTAGCCTAGTACTTGAGGTTCCTTTATTTTGGGGCTCTGTAAGGTAAGGGGTTATATGTGATCCATGGATAGCTAACATTGCAGTCACTGTGCCTAGGTAAGAAACCCCTGGCACAGTGCTGAGTTCATTTTTGAAGCATTAATTTTATTTTCTCTAAGTTGTTTCTATTGACTTTGATATTTGTGTGTGTGTGTGTGTGTGTGTGTGTGTGTTTTGTTCCTTGAATGCCTTCAGGGCACTTTTGCATGGCTGGAGTGTTGTGGGGATCGAACTACAGCAAACTGAGGCTGCCAGCATTGTGGAAGCAGCCACTTAAAGAACTGAGCTAGGGCTGGGCCCCCTGATATTTTGTAAACTAATATCAACAGGGACATCTCTAAATGTAACAACACTTTGATGTAGTTGCTACTAAAGCAAGCACAGAGCAAGTACACTATTAGAGTATAATATTACTCTTTCTGTGTCAAGCACTATGTTAAATACTTTACATTTAAAATCTTAATCTTCACAAGGTCTCTGTGAAAACTTCATCTTGTATATGAGAAAAGACAGGCAAAAGAGCCAGGGAGGTGTGTGGTACATGTTTATAGTCCTAGCACTCAAGAGGCTGAGGCAGAGGAATCACTGGGAGTTCAAAGCCAGCCAGGGGTATATTTTTAATTGCCCAGACTATGACCTCTTTCTTAGTGGCTACTGAAACAAAAGTCTTTCAAGTGGACACTGATTTCTATCTAGAAACTCCTGCATTGTGTAGTAATCAGGGATTAATATATTTTTAAAGTAGGCAATTAATTATAGAAGCAGTGAGCCCTTAGCAATTCTTGTGATTTGCCAAGCAAGAGACATTAGGTGCTTTAGGAAGCAGTTGAAGTGGCAGTGGCAAAACTGCCACTTAGAATCTAGGTATTGTGAAGGAAGCCAAAAGGACCTGCTGATATAGCAGATGTATAGCTGTGACAGAAAAGGAGCAGAGGAGGGTTCTAGGGCTTTGCGTTCTTGTAGTTATCATTTACTGAGATGGTGATGAGTGTGCAGAGCACAAGTATTAGACATGTTTATACCAAATATCTACTGGACACCTAGTGGGCATGTTCTCTGGGCAGTGAGACGACTGGGTCAGGAGATGAGGATATGAGTCAGCCAGGATTTGAGAGTTTTGCATTCCTAGCTGAACAAGTATAGCTAGAGAAGGGATCTGAGGACTGGGTGAGGACTTAGTTCTGGGATGTTTCATGTGTACATGTTATGAAGATTCTGGAAGGTGGTCAGAGGGGGTATGTCCAGTATGGCAAGTGTACTACCAAGAGAGAGCTCTGTCCTGAAAGCCTAGAGATGAAAGTGTTTCTATAAAAGTTTTACACTACAGATCCAGTCTACTGGCAAATTCTTATGGTCCATCTTCAACACATATCCAGAATGTGATCTCTTGCCAGCATCCCCAGCCTTCCAAAGCTGTGCAGATCACTATCAAATCCCTCCTAGACAACTGCATACATCATTAACTTGCTTGTGCTTCCACGCTGACTCCCTTAGAAGCTTCTTCTCTACTCAATAGGCAGAGTGATCCTTTGTAAAATGTCAGATCACTGAGTTCATCATTCAGAGAAATGGAAAAGATATCACTATATATCACAACTTTGGAAGAATGTAATATTCACGATACCAAGCACTGTTGAGAATGTAAAGGGCTGGGGAGATAGATCAGCAACCTAAGCTCCGGCCTGGCAAGCACAAGGTACTGTCTGATCCTCAGTACCAAAAAAGAAAAAGGAAGCTGAGAATGTATAGCATTAGTGATTCCTATCCTGCTTTGGAACTAAATTGGCACATCACTTTGAAATACAGTTTGCTATGATGTTCCAGTCAAACGTCCACTTCGCCTGTGTCATGACCTAGCATTATTATCTCCATGTGTGTATTCTAGAATACACGTACATCTCTCAGGGTCGTTATTGACTGTGCATAGTATTCACTAAAATAAAAAGATACAAGTAATGAAATCATTAGTGAATTGTGAGGTATTGTGGAACAATGAAAAAAATGCACTATGGCTTCACACAATAACATGAAGGATAAGGAAAAAAAGCACGGAAAGAAATTAAAGTCAAACAAAGGAAGCTATATGCCAGGTGTGTGGCATATGTCCATAATCCCAGCACTCGGAAGAAGGCTGAAGCAGCAGGATCACCAGGAGTTCAAGGCCAGTCTGGCCTACAACATGAGTTCAAGGCTAGCCTGAACTTCAGAGCAAAACCATATCTCAATAAGACAATCAATCAATCAGAAAACAAATAAATGAAGCCATATGTAAAGTTGTAATTATATGTACCATAAAAGTCTAAAGACAGAAAAATGAAATTACATGTTATAAGTTGTGTATTTAGAAAGCAAAACTAAGAAAAGAGCAAATAGCTATCACAAAAGACAAGATCACAATGATCTCTGCACAAGGAATGATCTGTAATGATAAAGGACACATAGGTCATATCTGTGGAAGTTAAAGTGTTAATTCCTTGATGAAAGTTATAGCTACATAGGACCAGGGAGGTGGCTGTGTAGAATAAGTGCTTACCTGGCAAGTGCAAGGGCCTGAGTTCAATCCCCAGCCCCACCAAAAAAAAAAAAAAAAAAAAGCTACATAGTTCTAATAATTCCCTGAAATGTACACCTATTTTTCCAAATGCAATTTTCAGTGAATGTGCAGTATTTAATCATTTAAAGTGTTACACAGGAGAAGACAGCCCCTTCAGGATTCTGCAGCTTCAGCATCAGGCACAGTCACAGCTCAAGTTCCACCTTTGCTTACTTAGGAGGAGCTAGGGAGTCTCCTCCCTAGCCCACAACCTGGGGACTATAGCTACTGGTGCAAAGTCTTGGCTTCACTTGCATTTTGAGACCTGGCAAAAGTTCTAGCTCCTCCTACTTCCCACAGTTCCAGGAGTGTGGCTTCTAACAGGCCCCACCCCTGAAAACATATGCAGTCACTCTGGGGATACTAAGAAAGTCTCTTCTTCAACCTACCACCTTCAGACTGTGGCTGCAGATGCCAAAAGCCCAGCATCACCTGTGCTGTCCTACGGAACTGGAGAAAGTCTCAAGTGTGTCCCTTGGGTGGAAGTGTCAGGTGTGTCACACAGTTCCAAACACAGAGCTGTTAGGGACTCAGACACCAGTACAACTTGTGATCACCTAGCAGAACTAGGAAGTCCTCTCCTTAGTCCTCAGCCTTCAGACTGCAGCTGCTCATCCAAAAAGCCCTGAAATCCTGCAAGCCTGTGTCTAGCTCCAGGATCATGACTACCAATGCCATAGACCTTGGTCCCATCAGACCTTGCCTTATGTGACTTAGCGATGTTCTTATCCATATTCTGCATCTCCAGGACTGCAGATAACAAAGCCACAAGCCCTGTTACTACCTGCACTTGACCAACAGGGTGTAGGGAAGATCTCCATGTGGCACACACCTCCAGGGGTTGGAATTCTAGTGCCATAAGCCCAAATGTTAAATGCAGGCCAGGGGGATCTAAGGAAGGTCTTCATGGCCTACAGACTTGGGATCATAGAGGCTGGTGCTAAAAGCCAGCTTGTCCTTTGGCAGCTAGAGAAGAAGGTACCAGATGGATTCCATGGGTCTAGCAAAGTGGTCAGTAGCACCACAAGCCCCAACACCACCCACAATCATCTCAAGGGACCTAGGAAAAGTCTCTTTGTGTTCCACAAGCTTGAGTCCATGGTTATGGGTGTCATAGGCCTCAATATCTCTTGTACTCATCCAGCAGAACTTGGAGAAGATCCCATCACCACTGTAGTTCCAGAACTATGGCTTCTAGTGTAAGAGGCTGAGACACCACCTGAATTCATTTTTAGTGCCCCAAGGAAGATCTCCTTCACATTCCATGGCTTAGAGCCCGTGGCTATTGATAGCACAACCCTTTGTAGTGCCCGTACTTGTTCCAATGGACTTGGGACAGTTTTTTCCACATCCTGCACCATCAATAATGTGGCAGCTGCGACCATAAATCCTAGTTCCATCAGTGCCCCACTGTGTGGAGTCTAAGGACATGCAATTTTGGAAGGCTCTGTTTACTCCAAAGGTGTATAACTATATTCAAGAACTGCTGCAGTCTATATCTTGAGACATTCACTGACACTGCTGACATCAATCAAAGCCGAAGAAATCATAGAGGCTTACCTATATCTGAAGGTGCCTACCTTGCAGAACCCAATATCTCTTCTACTTAAAAGTATCTTTTTCTACCAATAGCTACTCCATAAAATTGGAAGAGACAACCATTATAGTACTTGTGCAAAAAATCATTCTTAGGAAACTCAGTGGGGTACAAGAGTGCCCTAATAAACAATACAAAGAAATGAGAAAAACAATTCAATTCAGTATATAT